ACTTTCCTTTTGCTATACCTTGCAGTAGGCATTTTTGAGGCCTTCGGCCACACCCCATCCCCACGGGGGGAGGCGAAGTGCTGCCGAAATTTCTCAGAAATTTACTGAATTATTATTATTTTTAATTTTAAATAATTGAGTAAAATATACAAAGATTCATATTTCTTTTTGGGAATATTTCCCTTTTACTATACTTTGCTGCGGGCTTTTTTGAGGCCTTTGGCCACACCCCATCCTCACGGGGGGAGGCGAAGTGCTGCCGAAATTTCTTGGCAATTTACTGAATTTTGTCCAATTGAATCTTAAAAAAAATTAAAGAAAATACTCAAAAATTTATATTTTCTTTTTGTTATTATCCCTTTTACCGAATTCCTGCGGCGACTACTTTTTGAGATCTTCGGCCAACCCCTACCTTAACAGGGGGGAGCCGAAGTGTTGCTGGTAGCAAAATCTTGATTTCAGTTCTAGGAAGGTAGCGTTTGCCTAGGGACAATAGTCCCGAGCCCGATCCCAACGGGGGGAGGCGAAACGCTGCCGATATTTTTTGTAAAATTGTTAAAATTTTATTTTTCCCTAAAAAACATCAAACTCGGCAGGCTTATAAATGTGGTTATCCACGAGGGGTGAAAAATAAGAGAGGGATTTTATCTTAACTAAATGCATTTTTATTTAATTAATAATAATAAAGAGACAGCGAGAAGGGCATTGCCGTAACCTGATTTTGGGAAAACTTCCTAACCTGCTCCCGGAAGTGTGAGGCAACTGACAGGCCGCCAGTTGAATGTGGCCGTAGGAGCAAGTAGAGTTTTATGGGGCTACTATTGACTGGGACTTGGAGCCCCYGGAACTCATAGAGGGAGATCTGGTCGAGCTCACGATTCCCGGACGTGGCAGTCGGCACTTTGACGGACAATTCGCGTGGAGGTCCATAGTCTTGTCGGAGGACGCGTGGCTGTGGACGTATAGAGAGCACCAGCCGGCGCAAGGGGTAGGCGTAGTGAGGGCCTACCTGTATTTAGGGCCAGCTGCGATCAGGGAAGCTGTAGTGGACCTCGTGACGACAGGGACTAGTGGGACGGTTAGCAGAGCGTTACGGTACCTAGAGGAGGAGGTAGCTGCCTTCCGAGCAGAGGACTCGCGCGACCCGTTGACTCTATTTCACGGGCGCCCTCCTCTTGATATCTCGGGCGGACTGGCGATAGCACGGGACGGGTTTTTCCCGTACAGCGTTAGGAGTCTGAGAGCGATAGTGCCGGCTTTCGTGGTAGAGAGCGTCTTTGGAGGCATTGGAGGAGTGGTGGAGACATACCTGGCCTATCAGGATCTCAAGATCCTGGCGAGRARCRCTAYAGAYTTAACCTACATCTATTATTCACTCGCGACCGGAGGACTTCGCTGGGGAGACGAGAGGGTTCAGCTTATAGAGCTGATCCGCTCGATAGACGACGAGTGGCCCCAGTCGCCGTGCGTTTGGGATTGGCTAGACCGAGAGCTCCGAGCAGGACCCGAGTACGTGACCTGCATCGGGCAGCTTTTCTCAGACGACGAGGAGAGCTGGTGGGCTGAGGACGCCGAGAGACCTCTGATATACGGACACCAGTTGGAGCAATACTACCRAGGTATTGGACAGGCCCCATACCGCGTCGAGGACGAGTTTGACGACGGAGGATGGGAGCGAGAGGACGACGAGAACGTTTGGGAGCCGGACTGGATTGACCCGGAGGATGAGATTGTCGAGGAGGAGCCAGACGCTTCGGACGCCCATTTCCCCAGGATAGGAGTAGCAGTCCTGGCGTAGGAGGAGTCATCTTTGGTCACTGATATCGGCGAGTAGTGGAGAGTATGGCGGATCAGAATATACTCAGGGTGACTCTTTCCCTGCGACGGGATAGGACAGGAGGTTGGGAGGAAGAAGCGTTAGACATTGTTGAGCGACAAGTTAGACTCATGACGGAGCATGCTCTGGAGATACGGAGAGGCCAGAGGTTCACTGAGTTTACTATCTACTACCATGGAGCCGACGGGAGAGTGCACAGCACCTACTCAACCGTACGGGATCTGAGT